ATTGAGGATGAGCTAGACAATTTAAATCGTCAGTAATGAAATCATCGTCTCAGTTTGAATAACTTAACTGGGCGCCAAATTTCGAATATAATTTTATATTCGGGCTAAGTTCAAAATTGTTCATAGTTTTGATGGTTTTTAACTTAATCCATACATTTCAATTACCTAAAATACTAACATGAAACTTTTGACTTCTGTTCGGTTGGAGGGAGAGAGAGGGAGCGGTGAAAATCTATTCCCTATCCTGCCATGAGACATTACTGTTATATTTTAAAATATTTATATGGCCGTTCATCATCATCATAATCCATCCTGTTGAACCGCATTAAGCAGTGTGAGGAGGAAGTTTATAGAGCTTTCTCCAGCTCTGCCGGTCTTCCACAAGACGCTTCCTATCATTCCATTGAAGAGCTCTTCTCTGGAAGTCGCTCTTCACCTCTTCACCTCATCTTCCCATTTCCTTCTAAACCGTCCTCTTCCTCCCTTGCCCTCTACTTTAGCTCGATAGGCTTCGCCAGCTATTATGTTTGATTCCATCCGCAGAAGATGTCCAAACCATCTCAGTCGATTCTCTTCTTTCACATCATTGGCAGGCTTAATACTATTAATACCATAGGTTCGACCTGATGGTGGTGTTGCGAGGCAGTTTAATAGGTATTAATCAGTGGCTTCAGATCAAAGGAGAAACATTTAACCAAAATCAAAATTTAGTCAGAAGTTGACTCATAAAACTAGTTATCTTACTTTTTTTAATGGCTGAATCATTCTCTATCAAACTGGATACAAGAATGTTAAATTTAGCTTTGAAGTTAAAAGTTCTTTTAAAAAATGGATTCCTGAAGTGGTAGTTTCTTTCAAAAGTGGACATTTATTTAGGACCAGAAATATGATTTTTTCAGGAGGATCAAAATTAATATTGCCGTCCGTTTTTTCGCCTTCGGCTGCAGCAATGAAATTCAAAATTTTACATTAATATTTTATGCTTTCAATTTCAAAGAAAATGTCATCATTACATTAATTAATTTTATTCATTGAATTAAGAACGAAACAACAAAAAAACAAAAAAAAAAAACAGAAACAGTTTTTATTTACTTAAGTTAAATAACAATACAGTTTCGCTCGAAATTGGTCACTCTGTAAATTCTATCGTTTGAAGGGAGTGTCTCATTTAGTTCTGGCTCTTCATTTACTAAACAATCAATGGGGCGACAGAATGACTAAACATTAATAATAGTTGTCTGATATTTCTTATAAGATATTTACTCGATTTTTAAAAGAAGATCATAAAAATATATTCTTTCCAAAAAGAAAACAGAGGAGAAAGATGAAAGATTTTTTTTTTTTAAATTAAAGGCTTCAACCACTCCGGTCATTATCGCCTTATTTTCATTCAGAATTAGACCCTATTTTCAAGTTTTGAATATTTTAGGAAAGAAATTAGTTTATCAATTTAATTCGTATTGTTCTGTAAAATGATGTGTAGATCGTTTGTCAATTCACAAGATAGTCTAAATGTTTCGTATGCTAATGATGAAAGTTAAAGCAGTTCTCTCATAGAGATTTTGCGTTATTTTATTGTGCTATTAGTAGGCTTGTTTTTCTACTATAGTTTTAAAAATATAAGTAAGTAGATTAGGTGAGGTTGATTTTAGATTTCATAGGTTATTTAATTCATGATACGGATGAAATGCCATTTTGATCCAAAACAGACAATGACAAATTTTCGTTTCGAAACCGGATATTTGTATTTTCAAAGAAGAATTTTATTTTTTTTTTTTCAATTATAATGATATCTCATATTTAAAGAATTAAGAATGTACGTTTAAGATGAATTATTGGGAGCAAGAAATATTTTAAATTTAAGCTCTATAACAAACATCGGTTTTTCTTAAACTTTCTGAATATCAACAGTTATCAGCCTTTGTTGCGAGGCCACTCAAATGATATTATTAATGAATGGAATAACTGCTCCATCGCAAGTATATAAAAAGATGCTTAATGAATTACCTTTTTTTTTTGTAAAGAACGAACCAGCCGATGAGTGGGACTAGCTGAAATACCATAGGACACGGTCTAGGACCCGGTAATAAGCTGATATGAGATGGATATAGTGGCTATTCTATTTCATCGGAAGCTCATCGACTGGTGAGCATCTGTCGACAGCTACTTCCATTAGCTGTGTGAATTATGATCATGGGCGGGGGAGGCAAAAGAGAAAGAGAGTGAGAGAAAAAAAAACGACAGACGGACTTGTTGATTTGCGAGCCCAGGTGGATCTAATTGTTTGTTGTGAGCACGCGCTCATCGGAGTCGAACCGTTGGGCTTCGTTTACTATTAGCTCCCTATCCTGAGCCCTTATTATCGGTAATCAACTACAGATAGTCGATTTTCTGTTTTTTAATGTTTTTGTATTTGTAATATATACAATTTTTAAAATCAATATTATGCTGATATACTTTTTTTAGTGCATAAAAATAATAGTTAATGAATTATATGAAAAATATAGCATTTACAAATCATATTAAACTTTTTCCAAATCAAATTCAGTTATTTCAAGTCAAATTCAATTTCTCTCAAGATAAATTAAACATTTGTCAAATCAAATTCAATATTTTTCATAATTTCAACTTTTTAGATTTTTTTTATTTAAGAGTAATGACCATTAAAGATAAGTTCCGAAAAGTTAAAATAAATGGAAAAGGATGAATTTGGATTGAAAAAAAATTAATGTTTTCTTGGAAACATTTGAATTTGACTAAGTAAAAATTCAATTTCACTTGGAAATAATTAAACTTTACTTGAAAATTCATCCATCATAAACACCCTACCTTCACCCGGGTAGTTTTTTGAGTTTGAAACTCCTCCAAATCTTGAATCAAGGTCCGTAAAAAAATCATATCCAACATCTGAGCTCCCCGGATGTTGAACCTTTCTAGATCTTTACGAACATCCTTAATCCATGCCGTCGTTGTCCTCTCATCCCACAGGTAAACTAATATCCTTTTGGTTAGTTTCGTCTATTTTGTACAAGTGTCTGAAAAATGAAAACCTAATTTTTCTCAAGGTCTCCGAGATTTTCTCCACAATTTCATAGATTTCATTGCTATTCCGAATTTTTCAGAAGATGCACTTTTTATTGTAAATGTCAAGTTTATCATTATTATTATTATTAATGTTTTTATTTTAAAATATAATTTATACAAAATTTATTGTTTTAAATCATAGTAGGTGTTTTTGATATGCATCTGTTTTACCATAGATATAAAATGCATAATGTATATAAATCTAAAAAATAAATAAATAATTTAGTTTATAGGTTTGATGATGGATAAAAACTACCTGAATCTTTTTTAGCTGAAATGATACTGAGGCATGCTACATTTGAAACGTCAATTAGAGGGAAACCAACTAAGTATTATTCTACTACTTAGGGTACTTTTATTATAATTATTTTTGGTATACATGTTAACAAGATTTTCTGAGCAACTAAGTTATATATGTAAAACCATTTTTAATTACTCTTAATTGGATTTAGGCTTCGTTCCTAGAAAATAATTATTTTTATTGTATGTGTGTTTCAAGCTTAGATACTAACCGATGATTGCGATCTTCCCTTTTAGTGTTCTATTTCACGGTTAATGACGACTCCTGATCACAAGATCTCTGAACTGATTGTACAAATGGGATCACGCGAGTGTTCGTGTGATTACAGTTCAGTTTTGACTTCATCCTAGGAAGCCACTAAATTAACCGGTACTTTTGGCGCTTGAATATTATATTTGCTTTGAACTATTAAATTAATTTAGAATTCTTTTATACATATATCTGGGTATCTTTGCATAGTATAATCAATTTTATTTTACGAAATTGTCTTTAAGCCGTCGTTAAGTCTTTAATAATCACAGAAAGTGATTATTTGACATCAATACTTTTAGCGATGAGCTGAAAGTAATGCAAAAGTCAATTGTACGACCAATAGTAATAAAAGCAAAGAAAAATCCCTAGCACTAATTTTTTTTAAGCAAACCTCTAATTAGGAAATTTCTAATTTTTTTTTGAACATTTTAAATATTTTTTTTTAAAGAAGAATACAAGTCAATGGATAAAGGAAGTAACAACACGAAAAAAAACTTGTTCTTGCTGCATACTAGGACAAAATAAATCCGGGTAGGTTAAAAAGTAATGCAAATTACTATCAAGTGTTTTATTACAGGGGTTCTTAAATTTCTGTAGGTCACCAACAACATTTTGAACTTTTTTTTTTCGTATACTCTTCACTTCATTTTTGCACTTTACCTCGTTCTTCAGAATTTAATTCATGGCTTAATAATCTCATAGGCACTACATAATAATAAATATTTGAAAAAACAGGTTATTTTAATAAATAAAATTTTAGATTTATTGACAGAAAGACATTTTTGTTAGGCTATTGAATAAAAATGATTTCATATTCACGATCGCGTTTCCAGGACCATCCTGGTGTGATCTGTGACTTTGATTTCATATTTGAAAAAAAATTAAGTTCAGTATTCTTGTAGAAAGGCCGCGGACTGGGGACAAACAATTTTTCTTTCATTCAGTTTGTCGATTCTATGAGTCTTGTATATCTTTTCTTGGTCCCTTACAAGCCTTTTAATACACTAGTTATGCTAAACGTATCTATTTAGTTTCACAAAAGACAATCTGATGAAACAATATAAAAAAAAAAAAATAATAACTTAACTATACTTCATAATTTTTCTGTATAGTTGATAACAAATGAAAATTAAAGTTAATGTTCTGAGGGATCTGTATATTGCTCAATATATTTATAATGAATGTACATTTACATACATAGAAACGAGAAGGATTCATTCATAATCTAGCAATTAATTCAGAAATAAATAACGTTTTATTATTTTTTTTCATAGTAATTTTATAATGTAGATTTATAAATACAAATGAGCTACAATTTTAAATTTTGATGGGTTCAAGTTTAATAAATATTTTTTAAGAAAAAATGAGTGAAGGAGATAATTGGAAAAGCAAAGCAGCCTATTATATAAATGACTTCGGTGAAGGAACAACTCTTCATGGCATAAGATACATTATCAACAAAAAGTTTCATCCATCAGAGCGGTATGTTACACTTTGATACTAATCGACCATACTAAAAAGAAAATTGAACCTTTTATTTTATAGTTAGCAAAATAAATTTATTAACATTATTAGTTTTCAAGAAGTCTGTGCCACCCATAATACACATATAAATTCTTAAGCCCACTTTCCAGTTTGATTGTTATATTTATGGTACGTGACCTAAATAATAATTTAAAAAAAATTGTGAACAGAATAGTCCAATCAAGTGATGATTTGAGCCATGTTTAGGACATCCATATTTATAGTGGTGTTTGCTCTTGAATGCAAATTAGCAGCTCTGTTAGCTAAAGAAAATAATCTGTTGCTAAAACAATTAATTATTATGTTAACTAAGAATGGATGGAATAAATGTATTGGAACTTCCTTGTTAAATTATTCAGCTGTCCTGAACTATACCTACAGTTGCTGTATTTTTCATTATTGAAATCACTAAAAATATAATACATACATTTCAAAGGTACTATAATGAACCTTAATGTCATTGAAAGTGTGAATATATTCAAATCTTATAATAATTTGATAAAATTATAATTCAATTTAAAATAATTATGTTCATCATTTACTCTTATTGGTTTGAATGAATAGTTTTTAATTCAAATACTTATAACAATAGTTTCAAAGTAATTTTAAAGTTTTTAAACTAAAGGTTTCTACCTCGAATACCCTACTTGTCATTGATGACCACAGGTGGATCTATAAGGAGAGGCTTTCGAGCTGAAGCCCTCCCCTCCCCCCTCCAAATGATAAAATAATACCATTTCTTATGAAAAAATGTATAAAAAATGTATCTATAAAAGTATTATTGTTCGTGTAATTACCTTTAATAGGACTTCTAGAATCACTTAAACACCATTTCATATAGGTTGTTAGTTTCTTTTTTTTTCTTCCAAAGTATTAATCATTATATATACAAAAGCTTTCAGGTTGAAGCCGCCCATAAATTAAATCCTGGATCCCCCAATGTTGAAGACAGATGTATTTGTGTACTGCTTATAAGAGCATTGTTTAAAATATTTGTTTTTATAAATTGTTTCTATATTCAATGCAAATCCTCCAAAGTCCATAAAATAAATAAATTTTTACATAAAGACTTGTGTGTCCTTTAATGTTTATCTATAATTTATTTTATTTGTCTACAATTTTCTAAGCATTTTAAATTGTATTTCGAATTTAAACTCTATATTTATGGAATATTAAGACCTTAAATAAACCAATTTTTTTTATCATTGATACTTTAAGAACATATGTCTATTGACATATGTCAAAAGTCAATAGCTATAGTTCAATAGTGAGGGAAAAGATGATCCTGGAGAGTTTGATCACCAATAAAACTTTCCACCTCAAACTTTCTATCATAAGATAATTTCCATAGTTAGAAGTTTTTTTGATGACCTCCATCACGGACCACCTCTTCCCTCAATATGACTATTGAATCTGTAAGTATATTTACTGAATAAATTAATTTACTGAAGTTTTTTGTTAATCGTTGGAGACCAAGTGCTCAGTTATTAGAGATTACTTTTTTTTCTTTTCATATTTTTTCTTTCTAAGCAGAAATTATTTTTATCACAGTATAGTTGGTAGATTTCTATTTGTTTTGTTTATAGCTACTTTATTTATTGTTTTGTTTTTATTCTTATTTTATTATATATATTAAGCCTTTCGTTCAGAATTTTTTTTTTGTATGATTTGTTATTCTCAAGGGACTCTTTCTCAGAATACAGTTATTTTCTATTCCATTATATATTTTAAAACACATCATTAGTTTATTGTAAAAACTAATTAAGTGATATTTCATTACCTTAAATCAAGAAGGCCTTTGATGGATTTTCCCTTTGTGAAATCAGAATATTGTGCACATGTATACTTATATATTTGATATAATACTTATATATTTGATATATATAAGTATTCTTAAAAGTTCAGCAACATATAATATGAACTTATATTATACTCTCTTAGGAAAGCCTCATGTCCACCCATAACGTTCGATAATATCCCAGTGCCTTCAAAAAACTATGCACTGTACCTCGGACTCTACTTAGACAAAATGCTTACATGGAACATACTTACTAAATTAAAAAGACAAGAACTGACTAGATGATATAACCAACTCTCACATCTTCTAGACTACAGATCCTCACTTAACTTACGAAACAACCTACTAATCTACAACACCATACTGAGACTAATTTGGACATATGGAGCAGAACTATGGGGTTCGGTAAAACAAAATACAAACAACACAATAAAAAAATTGTCAACGCACATTGGTACATTTCAAATTACACTATATATAACGACTTGAACATCCCAATAGTAAAATCCTACATCCATGGCGATAACACCTCATTTCAATCTCCAATTCTAAATCACTTCAATCCATTAGTTCTTTCTATTTTCTGCTCTCTGTTACCTGATTGGTGCAGATTAAAAAGAAAATGACCGAGGCAACTACTACAACTAATACAAAATGAAGCTAATCAAGAAAACTCACAACTAATCCCTAATATATCAAATTTGCGAGGTGAGCTGCAGCGCATGTATGAATGGCACAATATGTAAAAAAAAAAATATATATTAATGACTTTTCACAAGCAGATAATATATAATTTGTATATATTGGTTCTACATCATTTAACTTCTTTATTTATTTTATTTGAGAAATAATATGCTGCTACTTCATATTAATTTATAATTCAGTGATTACCTATCGAAATCTCATGTTGCTAAGAGATTGATTCAAGTAATTCAACTTTTCTGTTGCACTATCAACCAAAATTTAATTTTCGTTTTGTTATTTTTTTTCCTACTTATTTACAACTTTTTTTCATTAAAAAAAAATAATTGTATGCTATATCTAAGAATTTATTGGATTAGTATGCACTATTCACAAAAAGCCCTATGTTATGAGTAAAATAAGTGTATCTTTTTTTACTTGTAGATTATTTTGGTTGGCGATTGTGGTTCTTGCTACGTATGGTGCTACAGCATTGATATACAATAGTTGGTACAGATACTCTTCAAACCCGACTGTCATATCTTTAGAAAAAGATTTCAGAGATTGGAATCTGCTATTTCCTGCCGCGACTGTAATAAAATACTTAATTCATGAAACTAAGATTTTGATAAAAAATTAGTATCAAGTTAACTATTCATTTCATTTACTTTAAAATTTATAGATTTTTATCCTAATCTGTTTACGTATAATAGGTCTGTTTCCAAGAAAGATTAAATGAAAGTGCAGCAACAGAAATTCTCACAGAGTAAGTACATATACTAAATAAATCATTGATTTATTTTTTAATCTAAATTGAAATTACATATACCCCACCATTTTTATGAATAAAATTTTAAGTTCTTGTGTTAGATATAAACTCCCCATCAAAAGTATCGCAACACTAACTTGGTACATGCCTCTCAAGATATGCCGCCCCAAAACATGATACAACCCCCTCCAAATGGCTCAGTTTCTAACGTGCATTTGGCATCCTAACGGGGGGCATATACCGAGTTAGTGGCAATCCAAGGAGGGGTCTTGAATGCTTTGAGGTATGTAGAAATGATTCTTCAAGATCATGTAGTGCCTTCTATGCCGATCATAGGCTCAGAATCGTGGATCATGCATGGTAATGGCCTTCCTCATAAGGCAAGATGTGTTTCTGGGTACCTGAACACCACAAATAACCACACCATTAATGGCCAGCAAGAAGTCCTGACCTTGACTCAATCAAACACATTTGGAGTTATCTTATAAGACAGATTCGGTCATTAGATTCACCTCCTACTACTTTTGAAATGCTAATGGTAGCTGTTTTGGAGGAGTGGAACAATATACCCCAAGATTTTCTTCCAAATCTTTATATCCAAAATATGCCAAGACAAGTGGAAGCAGTCGTACAAGCCAGAGAGAGCAATGCGTCCTATTAAATGTAAATTAGAAATTTAAATTGTAAATCAAAAGTTAAAATTGTAAAAAAGAAAATTTTAAAAAGTAAGTTTTCTAACTTTTTTGTTTATTGGAAGAAATATTGTAATTTATTTTAATAAAACTTGTTTACATCCAGTTTAAAAATGTTTATTATAGACTTCAGAACTCTTCTTTATTATGAAAAAACAGACATATACCATTCACCAGGCTTTCTCCAAACTCTTTTACAGCCATCTGGTCTGTTAAGAGCCACTCTCGTCTCATCAGTGAATGCAACTTTTTTCATTCCTCCACAGTCCAAGATTGATTTTCCTTGCAAATATCAATCTCTTTACCTTAAGAGAACCTTTCACTGGTCTTCTTGAGCTGAGGTTTGACTCTCTCAGTCATCTAATGACAGTTGACTCCGAGATTGATATCCTTCAAACACTAGTGATCAAGTGTTTAATGGAAGAAGCTGTAGAATTACGCTTCCGAAGTGCGTGCATTTTAGTCTATGGGATTAGTAATCCTGGGAGACCCTGAAGTTGATCGCCTTGAATGACTACCAGTCTCCCTATACCTTTTTATGGTCCTTGAAGCGGAAGAATAGTGAAATTCAAGGCAATTAGTGATGTAACACAATGATTTTCCTTCTTCAGACAGAGTGATAATTCTGACAAATCATCGTAGCTTAAACGATTCATTGTGAATAAAATTAATTGTTCTAACTAGATTGAAGAGAAAAGAGAGAATATATTTGAGGCAAACGAAAGATAAACATGGACTGAAAAGAAAATTTGAAATGAATAAACCAAAATTCCATCGTTTGTTGGTAAACTGTGAATAACAATCATGTGTCTAATCCCTGGTGTCTCTTATTTAATAAATAATATTACTAGTAAATATAAACAAAGTATGGATTAAAGTCAAAACTAAGAAAATCTCGAGAATCGTGGGTGTTGCAATACTTTTGACGGGGAGTGTAAAAATCCATGTGACTTATCCTTTGTTACAAGAAAGAAAAGTACAATAAAACTGTACAGTTGCTCAACCATGTTGAGTTGCTACAACACGTAGAATAATGATTAGTCCCAGTTGACAATGTTTAATGAGAGAGAACATAATGGATTCAGTTATTTGTATTAAAATTACAGTACATTAAAATTATTTGTGGATGTTTCAGCCTAGGACATTATGTAATTCTTTTCACTACTTTTTTACTCTCCTGTACATTTCCTGCTGCTCAGGATGCAAAAAAGAAAAAAAAAATGCTTGGATGAGAAAAGGAATATGCTTAATTTAATTCCTTTTGAAAAATTCAGTTTATCAATTTTTAGAGATATATTTTACCACATTTTTGTATTTTCATATTATGTAGCATATCATTATTATCTATCAAAATATTTTCAGTTCTGTGAAATAATTGTGAATTATATAATTGCAGGAGATGGAATGTTGATAACAGTTCTAAGGAAATGAATTTATACATGAATTTCCTCAACAGTGTTGTAAACATAAGTTATGAAAATCTTGATGAATTTCAAGATTATGTGCAAGATCCAGTATTAGCCAAAATTTCTGGAGAAGAAATGGCTGAAATAGCTCGAAAGGTAATTAATGCATAGTTTAGAAATTTTAAACAGGTAATCGATTTAATTAATTTTAATTTAAAAGAAATTTGCTAATTTTTTGTACTTATTTTTGTAGATTAATCATAGATATGTATACCATTAAATGTAAATGTCAACTAGGTATTGAAAATAATGTTAATTTTATTCATGTTTATATATGTTGAAGGTAATGGTGGAAATGGAATACCATGCTACAATATTTAACTCAGCTTACAAACACCTTATATTTCATGAAGTATTAACTGAAATGGGGATTTGCTATACTTATAGTGGATTAGTTGCTAATTATATATCATTAATGTAAGACAATATATCATTTAATGGATATTTTAAGTAGTGTTAAACTCAATATATGTAAGTTGATTTTTCCCTTTTTATTTATATAGAGATAACCCACGGCCCAAAAAACACTCACTACCAACCTGCAATTATTTGAATTCTTTGTGTTATGCCAGAATAGAAGATTTGCCCACAGCAATTCGGGTCAGTAATTTTATTTTTAGGTTGATGTATCACAATCCCTTATTTAACCTTCACTCAGGAGTAAAAGAAAGAACAAGAAGGTTTATGTATCTAAGCAACTTTATATATTTTATATTACATAATTTTATTTTAGAATAATTTTTTGGTAAATTTAGTCCTCAGTTTTTTGTTTTTTTTTCAGTACTATGTACATGCGCCAACTGAAATTCCAGATTCATCCAACAAGTATTTTCTTGTATCTAGAAATATGGAAAGAGATACGAGTTTCAGGTATTACATAATTGATTTTATATCAAATTAGAAGCTAATTATTAATTATATTACTCTTTTAAAAACAACAAACACAGGTTCTTTTTTGGTAATGAAAAAAAAAAAAATTGTTTTCTTGTTTTTGGGGAAAGAAACAAAACAAGACTTAGCTTATTAATAACAAGCTATTAAGCTGATAATAATTTACAAATATGGTACAAACATATTAATTCAAAAGACTAAATGCACTCAGTTTCAAACCTTCAACTTCCTTTTCATCCAAATTCACAAAGATAAGAATGTAAAAAATATTCTCTGTTCACTTTATATTAGATTAGCAAAACGATTCAATATTTTTATGAGCTCCGTCGTCAAACATTTTTGTTTATTTATTAATTTTTTTGCTTTTCCTGAATATTTATCAGGCATGGTAATTTGTTCAGTAGCAATTTAATGATGTTATTAACTTTTTCCTGGCCACTGCATAAAGAAAATATTTCTTCATTTATTGACAGATATACAAAATGAGAGAATATAGAATAACGGTCATCAAATAAAGATGAGCAAGGATATAAAACAATTATAATAAATAAAATATGTAATTTATCAATATCAAATCACTGTGATTTTTAATAAAATAAAATGTCATGAGATGAAGCATTATAAAGTAAACTTCATTATTCCTCTTAGAAACAATTTTTCTATTTATTCATATTTTAATTTAATTTATAAAAGAATTCTTCTATTTATTTGTTAAGAAAATGGGCCTATCTACATCTACTTTCAATGAAAAAAAAATTGAAATAGAAATAAAAAATATATTAACAAAAATTTCTGAAAAATTAATTAAGGCAAACTGTTGATTATTACTATTTCAACATTTTGAAGGAAACTGATTATGAAATTGGGAATAAAGAAAGAAATAATACCCCACCAATAAATTAAATGTTCCGTTTTTAAGAATTTGTGCACTAAACCCTAGTTTAATTAAAAAATTCATTTCCATTTAGTAGCATTTGTTGGCACAAGAAAGTGTAAAATCTGTAAAGTATTATTCTTTCTTTTAAAATTAAGCTTTAAAATGTATGTTCAGAAAGTTTCAGACATTAAATTTTAAAGCTTAATTTATTTCTTGATGAAATCAAGTTGATATTTAAGTTTGGTTTTCTGTCACAGGTTTCAAGAAACTGTGGCCTCAAAAGACTTACGAAGACTTGATCCTAAGCAGAGGCAGTGCAGATTTTACAATGAGCCCCTTGAAAAGAGCGATGATGAAATATACAGCTATAATTATTGTAGAATGAAATGTCGAAAAAGCATGGCTTTTGAATATTGCGGTTGTGCTCCTTATTTTTATAAGAAAGAAGGCAAGATATTTTATTATTTGCTAAATATTTTTAACTAACCAATAAAAAAATAATAAAATATTGTTAATAGAATGATTCCATAGTTACTCCATCTTCTGCAAAAAACAAAACAAAAAAAAACAAAACAAAAAAAAAACATAGATACCCGTATATCTAAAACCTTTGTGTTTAGTAGCTTTTTAGGAAGCTATTTTGTTTAGTAGCTATTTCTTGGTCAACTATGCAAACAGCGACTTCACCAAGATCACACACATTCATCAGTTTTTCTTAATTATTTATTTAATGGTATTTGGATTAAAACTAATGCCCAAATCTGTATATCTAGCTTTTTAGAGGCTGGGTGTGCCCCAGAAGGTTCTCCTGATCCCAGGATTGATCCATGAATGATGTAACACAATAAATAATTACCTACCATAATGAGATCTGAACCTGGAATCTGATGTATAGGAGCACAATGCCTTAATCACTCAGCCTCACTCCATTCACCTCCAGATTGGGGTGAAAACGATCTAGTTGATGGCTAAATGTTTAGTCACAATAAAATAATCATGAGTACTGACTAATTTTTTAGTCATAGTCGTGAAGGGTAATTGGAAAACAATGGTTTTTTATTCACTTCAAATGACTAAGAGCGTTTTCAAATTTAAGAAATAAGTAAAAATTAAATTGAAGCAATCAGTGGTTTATTTGGATTTTTTAATCAAATAAAAGATTTCGAATAAACTTTTGTTCAATGTTAAAAATTAAGACTAAAAGTATAGTAATTTTTTTAGTCAAATAAATTTTCAACCTATTTGGACTAATACCCAAATCTGATTATCTAGCTTTTTTTGCTTACTTACTGATGCTTTGATTTTTCAGAAGGAATACCTGTTTGTAATGTGGAAGGCCTTGCTTGCTTGGCAAAATATGCCAAAAATCTAATTAGAATGCAAGACAAAAACGGAAAAGGAAAGAAATGTGACTGTGCTTTTCTTTGTGAAACAACAGACTTTTATATTGATAAGAATGCAGTAAGGAAATGGTATGCACATATTTTGTATCTTTATATATTTATCTTTTATCTCCAATTGTGATTATTATTTTCTGTTAAAATTTGTAAAGACATAAGGAAACGATCAAACTATGTGACAAACTTGCCTAACTTAAAAAAATAGATTTGACAAAACAGCATATAAATATTCAAACCTCAATTTGGCAAATCTCACTCATTTTGAATGACAATGTGATGTAGTTTATTGTATTGAAAATGACCACTAACCTATATAAAGCGTTAACTAGATTAACTAATTAAATAAACAAACCCTATATATTCAATATAACAAAATAAACCAGGATCTTAAGAATATGTTGCAAAAATATATACATTTTATTTTAATGATAAAAATATAGATATCATAAAAAGAACAAAAACAAATTTGAAACAAAAATTAGGTATCCCAAAATTAATAAGGTGAATATATCTCATCTGAAACTGGTTAATCAATAATATTGGACAAATTTATCGTATCCTATAAACCTTTAAATGAGTTTTTCAAGTAGACAGTCAAATTTCATCAAATTTTCTTTCATACATAAAGAATGTTAGATGAGCACACAAAACAAAGGATTATGCTTGGAGAACAATTAGTTATATATAAATTATATATCCAAATGATTTAAATATTTTTTAATAACTTAAGTAAATATGTATTAATAATTAATTACTCATTCCAGGACTTATCCTGTTCCTTGCAATATCAGATTCCGATGGGCAATAGAACATTACAGCAAGACAAGACTTAAACGAGATATTATTTTTGGATTAGAGGATTTATTAGGTTTGTTTTCATCTGTTTGATTTGTATTTTCATTATATATTTTGTTTTTTTCAAATCATATTTGTTAAATGATATATCATAAATTTTACATTTTCTTGAAATTAAATAATGAGAGAATGAGAATGTGATTGGAGTCAGTTTTAAATAAAAATATTTTGTATTCATCAAGTTTGTGACTATTTTTGGAGCCATATTGAATATTTAAGAACAATTTTAAAATTTCAACTAACAATAATATGACATGCTTTATTTTGAATCTATAAAAAGAAAAAAAAGATAGGAGTACGAAAATTTGTTTCATAAGAATTTCTTAGGAATTAAGAAAGTAACAGCGATATTGATGTAATAGAAAAATAAACATTAATTAGTTTTGTCATTATTGCTTTCAGTATCACTTGGTGGCACGGCTGCTCTATTCTTGGGCAGCAGCGTTCTCTCGTTCGTTGAAGTGATCTACTATCTCACACTTAGATTGTTTTGGTTTTTAGTGAGTTCTAACAAAAAACAAAAAAAGGATACATAAATCAACATATCCTTTGTTCAAATTCTTGTTAAAAAAAGTTAAATATCACTTATGTGCAAAGTTTGAAATTATTTTTATGCTAATTTTACTAAGGAGAAACAGTTAATCTGAAAAAATGAAACTCAATATCTCATTTGTGTAGCTAAATTATTGCATATGATTTCTTTGACTTTTGAAAATCAAAGAAAATTTTAAAACTTATTTTCCCAAAATTAGAAATTTGCCTTTGTAGTGACAATATGTCACAGTATCTTCCTTTTGAATTATCTTTAAAATATAAATTTTAGCATTATAATCATGCACCAGTCACTAGAAAAATTATTATTTTAACTTAGAAAACCATTTCAAATATATTTTTAACTGATTGAATAGAAGATTATTTCCTGGCTCAAACATCATATTAACATTTTCTACATCTTTAAACGTTTTTATCTAATACACTTTATATTTTTTTCATAAGGTATGTATGTACTTTTATAATCAGTTCCTGTTCAAGGAATGAACAATTTTTGTTCAACCTACAATGATATGAATGAAATAACAATGAATGAAATGAATACAATGATATGATATGAAATAACAATAAATAATTTTGACAGAAATCCTGTTATTAATTTCGATCTTCGAGAGGAATTTATAAAACTATTAATCCCACCATGTATTATTTTAGTTTAAATGTGTGCCCAACTTTATTTAAAAAAAAAAAAAAGAAATGTATAATTTTTATTCAATAATAATTATTTAAAATTTTCAAAAGCGATGCATTCTTATTTAATGGAAAAGCAAGCCCTTAATTGACTATTGAAAGTTCTTTCAAAAACAGGGATTTTTTAAATAAATATTTTCAATAACTTAAATGTTAAGAACTTTCAAAATTAAGTACATATGTTTGTTTATATTCATTTAAACATGTAATTACACATCTATGTAAATATTTACACTTGTAGGCATATTACACTAATATATGTCACTAATATCCAAGTTGTTTCATTCATCTGTTAACTGGAATGTTGCAGAATCCGAAATCGCTTTATTATTTCGTATAAATGGTTTTTAACTACAAAATAAATCTATATTAAAACTTATTACATACCTTGATTAAATAATATGATGTTCGGTATAGCAGATATTCACTAGAAAAATGATTGGCTATTTAATTAAAATACAAGAAATGAAAATGAATGTTTTCTGGTTGTTTCTTCTGAAATAAGTATGACAATTCTTTTTTTTTAGTAATTAAAAAAAACTTAAACCGAGAAAACTAATAGATAATTTTATTTTGTATTTTTTTAAAACTGTAATAATCATTGAATTATTTCTATTTCTGAAAAAAAGAGGATAACGTCATATTTGGGTAATGGAAAAGTTGAGCTCCTTTAGGATTCGGGTCTCCTAATACGAAACCCAGAATTATGGCCCGATCCGGGGTCACGAAAGTTTGATTGGTGGCTCTATCTGTTAGCTTTTGGTTTAACTATATTAGTTCAAAGATTGCCAACAAGGTAGCGCGACCTGCCTTTTTCCACACCATAAAGGGACAATATTCTTTCTACTGGAACATCAGTGTTTAAAACCAATTCGTGAACTATGACTTATAGGATTTAAAAAAAAAAAAAAAACTTTAAAATGAACCTGTGATTCAGCAGTGGGGAGCAATCAATAATCTGTTACAGCCAAGTCTATGTATATCAAAGTAACACTTTAAAATTTCAGTTCGATGATTTATTTTAAAAATAAACTATGTTTTTTATTTTATTTATTTTTTATCTTTAGAGACATAAAATTAAAACAATTTGTTTATTAGTTTCATACAATTATGTTTCTTAGTTTATAATATTTCTATTTAAGGAAACACTTTCTGTTAAAGGTACTAATGTTTCATACCATTTCAAAACTCCATTAACCGAAAATATCCCTTATATCATGGAAATATTTAAAAACAATTCAGTATTTAAGATCTGATCTGAAGATAAATTATAAGTTTCTTATATGTAAGTTATATAATATACATCATATATCATGTGAAGCTCCTTATCAATACCCATCTCTTCACTTGTCTCACAAAAGTCATTTTGCGTTAGAATTGTAAATTATTTTTGGGTAATAACCTAAGTCTGAAATTGTGGACCATATTACTTTTTTTTTATCAAGTTATAGTTATAGTTTTAAGTTATAGTTATAGTTTTATACAAGTTATAGTTTTAAGTTTGTTGGTCACTGAAAAAGGAATTTCATACAAGTTTTTGTTCCATTCAAATGAATTATATCATAAAAATGAACAGTTTAGTCTTAAACCATTCACAAACTTATTATTATGTATTAGCTTTTGATTTTTCTCTATAACACTCAGAAAATTAAAAAAAAATTATATTTTATCAACATTTTTGTATTTTTAATTTGTCATTTTAAAAATATATTTTCATGCAAAATATCTTCCCCTAATGCTCATATCCATTTTTTTCAATCATAAAAAGTAGAGTATGAGACACAAATGCAGCTGTCTTGACTTTTTATCCAGACTTTCCGGCAGTGATGTACCTATACTTCGCACCTGAAGGAGATGATAATTTTCAAAATGACGCATCAGCAATTGATTCAATGAAGAATTAGTTAAGATATGGCATTTTGACAGAAAAAAAACCTATCAAAAATAAATAAAGATCATTTAAAAAAATATATTTTAATGTGTTTTAAGAAGCCTTTAAGCAAAACTTTGTCAAGATAAGCCTGACAAAACATGTGTACAAAGTACAATAAGCTTTAGGAACTTGTCGTTAAAATATTTAGAATAATATGTATAAACACTGAATAAGACCAAAGTAATTTTTTTAAGAATTCTATATGCCTGTCCAAATGCGTTTGTGTAAGAAACTGTATTGGTATCAGACTTGGACGAAAAGTATTTTTAAATACATTATTTAAAATATGAAGTATTTCCTTTTCTAAAATACAATTTTAACCACCTTATATTTCAATTACTTGTTAATTTTAAATTACCTCACTTAATTATTTAATTTTTGTAAACAATTAAAATATTTGGTGATTGAAATTGTATTTTATAAACACAAAATACTTTGTATTTGAAACCAAGTATTATAAAATACATTTTTGCTAAGGACTGATTGGTATCTACCTGGTCTGGGTTTGAGTCTATATGTTGCATATAATTATTGATTCTATTACATCGGCTGTGGAGCGATTCTGAAGTATTTATTCAAATTTTAAGAGACTCCTTAAATTCTTGAAAAGATGGCATGAGGATTTGCTGATAAGATAAACTACGGAAAATGTTTTTAAATGCGCTCACAACACTTGTATTCTCCCTTCTTCCCAAGAAGTACTTCTTTATCAATTTTGTTAAAAAATAAAACGTTTTATAGTATTGAGTTGTCAAATAAGTCCTTTCGGTTTTTCTGTTTATTTTTATGTCACTATGATACACTTCTTATCTGATGAATTAATCCCTAAGATGGACCATTTATCATTTTTGTAATATGTCAATGATGCCTTAACTGAACGCACCTGTCAAAATTGGTTTGCCAAACTTCATTCAGGAAATTTTGACATCAATGATGATCAATGGTCTGGTTACCCATATGAAATTGAAACGAGCAATGTTAAGGCCAATTTTGATCAAACTGCCACCTAATCAGTACGAGAGATTGCTATGGCCCTAAATATGTCGCACACAAGTGTAGAAAACCATTTGCATAAGCTTGGCTATGTTTCCAGGCTTAATACTTGGGTCCCTCACTTTCTAACAGCAGTCAACAAGCATTTCTGTTTGTGATTAACTACGGAAACGGTAAAAAGTGACCCATTTTTAAAAAGGTAGGTAACAGAAGATGAAAAATGAATATTTTACGATAATATAGTCCTTTGAAAATCCCATAGAAAATGTCAAAACCCGGATTGCATCCAAAGAAGATAATGCTTTCCATATGGGGGGATTTCAAGGGGGTTATTTTCTATGGGCTATTGCCATCAGGACAAACTATTGATTGTCCAACTCCATACTGCTCACAATTAACAAAATTGGATCAATCAATTAAAGATAAATGCCCAGAACTGGCAAATCAGAAGAGTGTTGTGTCCTACCAAGACAACGCTAGGTCCCACATCTCATTGGCCCCTCGTAATAAATTATTGAGCCTTGGATGGGATATTTTGCTCCATCCTCCCTATTCACTAGACCTAGCTCCAAGTGACTACCACTTATTCCGGTTTCTCAGAACGGAAAGAAATTCCAAATGGAAGAGAACATCAAAAAACACTTGGATCAGGTTTTTAACCATAAACTCCAGACATTCTATGGAAATGGCATTGTGAGGTTAGTAGAAAGATGGGAAAAAGTCATATTAAATAATGGTCAATATATTGTAGATTAAAATAAATTGTACGTCTATAATACATTGAGTTTTATTTCAACCTGAAAAACCGAAAGGACTTATTTGCCAACACAATACTTCCACTACTTAGATATACATTAGTTAAAGGCTTGGCTTGGAGTTCTCCAGAATGAAGGTTTGTAAATATTGCATATAAGTATGTCTGTATTTAAGTTCTTATTTTGATTAGTTTTAGTCCCTTTTTTTGTTTATATTCGTATTAATTTTTATCCGAATAAGCGAAGCGACACGAGGGTTATGTGTTTGAGTTGTCTGCTAAAATCTATGTAACGATTCCGTGAGCGAACGGCTAGATCGATTTTTAAGTTTGATAGCTCAAATTATTTGGTGTGATCCCATGAGTGTTTTGAAACAATTTGAACCCAAAATTCTGACAAATTACTGTGAAAAGTATGTTTAATCAATCCATTAAAATATATTAATGATTTTTTGAGTGGATGGCTTGACCGATTTTTAACTTAGACGGCTGTTGTTACTCAATGAGATCCCGTGAACGTTTTGAAACGATTTGAGCGGGAAATACTAAGAAAAAAATGTATTATTGATTAGGATCTGGATTATTAATTATTTGGAAATAATATGTGATCATAT